GATTTGAGCTCAGGGCCTACACCTTGAGCCACTCCACCAGACCATTTTTGTGATGGGTTTTTTCAAGATAGGGTCTCTCTCGATTTGCCTGACTGGCTTTGAACCTCAGTCCTCCTGATCTCTGCCTCCTGAGTAGCAGAATTACAGATGCTGTAATTACTGCTTGAGCCACTCCACCAAACTTTTTTTTTTCTTTTTTTTATTCATATTTGCATACAATGTTTGGGTCATTTCTCCCCCTTCCCCCACCCCCTCCCTTACCCCTCCCCGCCCCGTCCCTCTCCTTCTCCCCCCCACCCCCTCGATACCCAGCAGAAACTATTTTGCCCTTATTTCTAATTTTGTTGTAGAGAGAGTATAAGCCATAATAGGAAGGACCAAGGGTTTTTGCTGGTTGAGATAAGGATAGCTATACAGGGCGTTGACTCACATTGATTTCCTGTGCGTGTGTGTTACCTTCCAGGTTAATTCTTTTTGATCTAACCTTTTCTCTAGTTCCTGGTCCCCCTCTCCTATTGGCCTCAGTTGCTTTTAAGGTGTCTGCTTTAGTTTCTCTGCGTTGAGGGCAACAAATACGCGGCACTAGGGTTTGAACTCAGGGCCTCCTGTCTTACTGCTTTGGGAGCGCTTTTATTCATCTTTTGTCCGTCGAGGGTGTGGGTCTGTCAGTGTGTCCACCTGATTTGTGGAGTCTCTTGCCATCAGAGACGTGCAGCATCTGATGTTTCTCTGTGAGGGGCTTCTCTGCCCCACTGAGTTACACCGTGCTCCACACAGGCTGCAAATACCCTCCAGGAGCCCCTGCCCTGCGAGGGGAGAGGAGGAGAGAAAAGGATGACATGGCCTTTCTAGGACACCCTCTGTACGTCCCCTGCTTGAGGATACCCAGGCAAATGTCCCTATTCTCCTTACTGCCATCCAGCTGGGGCAAAACACCCCCACTACTCCCCCAGCCCAGGCTCCTCCACTTTGTTTTTCACTGTTAGAGGCTTGGGAGCCTTGGCCTCCTCCCCGCAGCCCAAGCCACTTGAGCCTCTGGGCAGAGCCTCTGGAATGCTGAGTCCCGATTTCCACATGGCCCCCTGGGCTCCTCCATGCAGCTGCGTTTCTGCTGTGTCATGCTTGGGGGGCGGGGAGACAACGGGAAGCGCGATTTTGCTGAGTCACCGGCTGCCTCCTCAGCTTCCCTCAGGGTGGGCGGTGAAAGGTCGACTTTAACCTTACTCAAGAGGAAGCGAAACTTCCAGCAAAGGACAGAAGCCTCTCGCTTTCTCATGTTCGTGCAGTTTGCAAAGCCCTGTCTCTGACGCCTCAAAACTGACAGAACCACTGTGAGCTGCTAAGTTTGTCCCACGCTTCTCAGTGGCAGGAAGCTGGCAACTCCATCTTCCCAATCGTTAGCTGGACAGAAAACGGAGTTAGCCCTGGCTCCTCGCTTAGGTCTTTCCTGATCTTCTGAAATTCTTGGTGGCTGTACCTTTAAAATATGCATGGATGCATACGACATCTTCACAGGCACTAGGGACACGGGCAACCTCTGCCACCATGGACCCACCCTCACCGCCCGGCTGCTAAGGACCAAATGAGGGCTGGGTGAGGCTCAGTGGAAGGGTGTGTGCTTAGTACGCATCACCTGAGCCCTGGGATCCACCCCAGTGCCTGGCTGAGAGCACCCTCAATCAGAGCGTCTCCCTGGAGTCTGCACCCATTTGTCTTCTGTGCCCTGCCTGGTTCTGGGCCTTTCCCTGCATCCCAGACCTCCTCCATGAGGACCCTGAGGGGCAATGCCAGGCATCTTGCTGGGGGAGGAGGACCCCCAGAATCCCCAGGGTCCCTGGCTGCTCTTTCCCTGCTTCCAGAAGCTGAGGATCTACCCCAAGGATGAGTACGGCGGAGGAAATAGGGGAAAATTCACTTCTTATTGCTGCCATAACAAATGACCACAGACATCAAGGCTTAAAACAGCACAAACTTATTCTCCCGGAGTCTGCAGGTCAGAAATCCTTAAATGGGTGGGCAGGGCTGCTTCCCTCTTGTAGCTCCAGGAGAAATCTATTCCTCTTCTCACCTTTTCTAGCTTCTAGAGGCCGTCTGTGTTTTGTGGCTCATGGCTTCATCCTTCATCTGTGTGTGTGTGTGTGTGTGTGTGTGTGTGTGTGTGTGTGTGTATCTATGTGTGTGTGTGGTACTGGAGTTTGAACTCAGGACCTCATGATTGCTAGGCAGGTGCTGTACCACTTGAGCCACTCCATCAGCCCTGCATCCTCCATCTTCAAAGGCAACAGCACAGCATTTTCCAATTTTTCTGCCCACCCCCCACCTCTCTTGTCATACCAACCTGCATCTGTGGCCATCTAACTTTCCTCTTGTGAGGACCTTTTTTGATGACACTGGGCCCACTGGAATAATCCAGGACAGTCATCACGTCTTGCGATTTTCAACTTAATCTCATTTGGAAAATCCTTCTGCCATGTATTAGCAGGTCCTGGGGACCAGGATGTGAACTTTTTTTTTTGGTACTGGAGTTTGAACTCAGGGCCTACACCTTGAACTACTCCACCAGCCCTTTTCTGTGAAAGAGTTTTTCAAGATAGGGTCTCAAGAACTATTTTCCTGGGCTGAATTGAACCTTGATCTTCCTGAGCTCTGCCTCCTGAGTGGCTAGGATTACAGGTGTGAGCCACAGGAGCCTGGCAGATGTGGACATTTTTGAGGGGTCATTATTCAGTCTACCACAGCAGGAGAAAGAAGACCTTTTGGTTGTTTGGGGAAAAGGGAAGTCAGGAAGCTGAATCAGCAGGGGCAAGGGCCACAACTCAGCACAAGAGCAGAGGACAGCTCTCCCCCAGAGTTCTCTGTGTGGCCTCTGTTCTAGCCAAGTCTGGGGCTCCCAGGTACCAAGCCAGGATTGGGAGCTAGGAACCCAGGATCACTGATGGCTCTGAGTTCAGTCCCTTCCCCTTCTGGGGCCCCTACTCCCCGTGTTAAATAAGGGGTCAGATCACATGAACTTCACCTTCTGGGGTTCCTGAATTAGGAGACTGAATCTGCAGACTTATCCCTAAACTCCTGGACCCTCTATGAGAGGGATTGGGGTTTCGTGGGTTGGGAGGCTGGCTGGCTTCACACTGCCATCACTAGCTGTGTGATATAGGAAAACTACTTAACCGCTCTGTGCCTCAGTGCTTATGTGGGCAAAATGTAGATAAAAATAATGATCTACATGCCTTACTGGGCTGTTGTCAGAATCAGGGGAGCTACCATGCATAAAGGTTCTGCACACAGCAAGTGCTCAGGAAAGCTTGGATACACAGTTCAGGACAGTAGCTGGGCTCCAGGCCTGTCTGGCAGTGGTGATAATACAGCCTAACAATATTATCATTTTCCCAGAGAGAGACTTTGTAGCATTTGGCCATTCATTCATACATTCAGTATTAACTGTCTGCCTCCTGCCAGGCACAGTCCCAGGCCCCAAGGATTTACAAAACAAAGTAGACAAGGTCCCTGCCCTTCTACTTTCTATATTACCTTTCGAAAGGCCGATGGTCCCTTCCAGGACTGCCTATGGAGTGCCTGCCAGTTGGCGGTGAGAACCCCATTGGTCCTGTCTCAGCCCCATTGCTCCCAGAAAGAAGACACGCCACCTGGTTTTCAGGAAGCTTTGAAGTCTTCTTGCCAGGCTGTCTATATTCACACCTGGTGTGTCTTAACCTCTCTGCCTCAGTTTCCCTATTTGGAAAGCAAGGGTAATACCTCTTCTAACCTTGGAGAGATTGTAAGGATAAAGTGCGTTGAGGCCTGCAGGTGCTTAGAAGGGTGTCTGGCACCAGGAGTGCTCAATACTATAGCTACTGTCCTGTTGTCCTGATGTGGACACTTCACCAAGCACCCACACACTCCTGGGCACACATGGGTGGGACTCGGCCATCTCAGCCCCCCCCAGTGGGGACCCATGCTTGACAGTTCCCTCAGAGGTGGGGCACTTGCTACCTCTATTCCAAACAATATTCTTGTCATGATCAAAAGTCATCTTTTTTAGGAAAAAAAAAAAAAAAGGAAGGCAGGTATGATGGCATATGCCTATAATTCCAGCACTCAGGAGGCTGAGGCAGAAGAATCACGAGTCAAACAAATAGAGTTGTGGCATTAGGAAGGGACTTCAGGGACCATCCAGGTCATTCACTTGCCCCCATCCTAAGCAGTCCACCACATGCAGAATTAACTGAGGACGGGGTTGGTAAGGGCCTGCTCTGCTCCAGGCTGCAGTGGTCACGGGGGACAGGAGTGAGAGCAACATGCTCTAGAAGGGCATCTCATACATCCAAGCTTTGAGGCAGTTTGTATAAATGTATAAATGCAGTCCAGGTGTGCACCCACTGCTAAGAGAATGTGGAGGAGGCAGTTGGACACTTGGATGTCAGGTCCTGCTTTACATGTGATACCACTTCATCCCCAAGCCTCAGTTTCCCCATCTGTAAAATGGGAGCCATGTACCCCACAGGATGGATGTAGGAATGAGGCATAGCAATAATACAGTCTCCAGCCCTTAGTAGGTCCTGCATGGAGGGGGAGGGGGACCAGCTCTCCTCAGGTAGGAGGGGGCTGCAGGGCCAGGGATGGGTTGTCCCAGGTGTTGCCCACCAGCCTCATGCTCTGAGAAATACTGCCTCCCAGTAATCTGGAACCTTCTAGATTCCTGGGGTGCCTGAGTCCTGTGACTGCATGGAGGGCTCTGGAAGAGACAAAATCACACCCAGAGCCCAGCAGTAGCTCAGATCTCCTAAAATAAATATTTAAACATCCTGTGGCCGGGCTTTGTTTGCAGGGTCATGTGACTGCTCCCCCTGCCCGAAGTGCTGGCCAGGAGCGGGCAGGGCACTGGCCTGAGGGGTGTTGCAACATCGGCTCAGCTGGGAGGCCACCACGTGACCTACCGGGAGGAGCATAAAAAGCCAACAGCAGCTGCTGCTCCTCAGTCACTTCTCGCCTCCTGTGCCTTCTGGCAGACGGCCGGCCACAGAGCCATCTGGAAGAGGAAAGCGCTCAGGCTGACAACAGACGGCAGAGCCACCCCAACAGAGCCCAGTCCAGCAATGGAGCCTCCGCAGAGTGAGAGGTAAGCGTGGGGTGGGATGCTCTGGGACTGGGAGGTGTGGGGCCCTGAGCCCTCTGTCCCACCTAGGAATGAGAGCTGTGTGGCCAGGGAACCTGCTTCCTGTCCTCTCCTGCCTGTGTAATTGGAGGGGGAAGAGATGATTAATTTGCCAGCCTCGTGGCATGCTGTGGGTGACACAATTGGGTGTTCCTATGATATCCAGACTTTGAAGAAGGCAACTTTTTAGGTGTTGCCTGGAGGACCTCTGCTCAGTCTGCTGGGGTGCTTGCTTCTCCTGGAGGGAGCAGAGCTCATTCACTGTGCCATCCCCTGACTAGCGGGTGGTAGAGCTGAGACTGGAATCTTGACCTCTGCCTCCAAGGTCGAGTCATTTCCTCTCCCAAGAATTAACCACTAGCAGCACCTATGGAAGGGGAAATGTTTTGGGGCTGCAGGAGAGAAGGAAGAAATGACAACTCTAGGGAGTGGAATTTGGACACATGGCACAAATACTCTCAGAATAGGACTTGCCTTTCCTTCCTTCCCTCCCTCTCTTCCTCCCTCCCTCCCTCCCTCCCCCTGTGCTGGGAATTGAACTCTGCTAGGCAAACACTTTACCACTGAGCCACACCCCTAGCCCTTTTAGTTTTATTTTGAGAGGGTCTTACTAAATTGCCCCCAGGCTGGCCTTGAACTTGTGATTCTCTTGCCTCAACCTTCCCAATAGCTGGGATCATAGGCCTGAGCCACTGTACCCACGGAACTTTTTCATTGAGTAGAGCAGAATTTCTCAGGCTGTTTGATGAGCACTTTGATGATGAGCATAACATTCTAGGAGGTCATGAGGTTTGAATCCAAAACTTTGAAAGAAATGAATTAAATACCAAGTCTAATAAACCAATTACAGCAGTGAGCTGTTGATCAGGATGCTCGCTCCAGTGGGCTCTGCTCCTCCCAGGCTAGGCTGTCCCCCCCTCCTCTGCTGGGAATGACTGGGGATGAGAATTTCCTCTTTGGTTTCAGGGACTACATTACATAGTATTTCAGTGACTGCACAGTGTTTTCAGGGCTGAAAACATGGACCAGAATGGGCAGCCGGACCTATTTCTGCAGATGCAGTGTGAGAAGGCTAGATCACTAGAAAGCGTGTGACAGGGGCACCACAGGGTCAGTATTGTGAGACATCCCCTCCCCCATAATGCCCTCATTGACACTCCTTCACTTCTGCAGCATGCCCCAGGACCTGTCTGAGGCCTTGAAGGAGGCCACCAAGGAAGTGCACGTGCAGGCTGAGAACTCTGAGTTCATGAGGAACTTTCAGAAGGGCCTGCTGACCCCAGAGGGTTTAAAGGTATGTGGACTGGCGGGGTCAACCCTGGTGGACAGTACAACAGGTATGCTCAAAGCTCAGACCAGTGGCCTAGCTGGGGAGCCAAGGGATCAGATGGCTTGTCCAAGGAAATCATTTTACTAATCTTGACTCTGAGGCTCAGAGAGCAAGAGGTGACTTACCCAAGGTCACACCTGGTCATGGCCTGTTGTATACTGTGGGTGGAGGCACTTGGGCAGCAATGCCATCTACTGAACACCTCTTCTGTATTGATCCCTTTATACACTTGTGCCTCTACCCTGATAATGAAGGGAAGACTCAGAGAGAGGTTAAGTGTTTCACAGAAGGTTACATAGCTCTAAGTATGTGGAAAAGGCAAAATTAAACAAAGATGGGTCTCATTTCAGAGTTTGTGCTCCTGACCTAATTCTTTTTGTGATACTGGGATGAAGCCCAGCCCTTGTTCCTGTTAGGCAAGTGCTCTACCACTGAATTAGAGTCTCAGCCCTTGGTTATTGAGACAGGGTCATGCTATGTAGCACAGGCTAGACTTCAACTTGCAATCCTCCTATCTCTACCTCCTGAGTGCTGGGATTACAGCTGTGTACCACCATGTTTGCCTCTCCTGACCAAATTCGAATTTGCCTGTGAAGGCAATGGATGATGTGCGTTTGGGCCCTGGCAGGACCCTTTCCTAACAGTGAGGCTGGGGTCCCTCATCTAATGTCCCAAGCCACCTTTTGGTTGTCTGTGAAATGGAATTTCAACAGCAGGACTTTCTTAAGTACATGGTGTATGCTAGGCCCTGATTTTGCTATTTCTTGGCATGGTTGTGAAATTCATGCCAATAGAATGAAAGCACTTGACAAAGAACTGAGCAGGTATGAAAACATCTTGCTGGGAAAGGTTGACCAGAGTGTGGGGGAGGGGAGGTGGGTCCCATCACTCCTGATTCCCAATCCTAAACCCCACTTCCAGCAGGAAGCTTTGGTTAGGGAAGATTGAGCCTGCAGCTCCTGGGGGCCCTGGCTATATCCTGTTGGCGGTGGGTCTTTGTGGTCTGAACCCTCAGTTATTATCACAGGGTTGGGTGGTGGGGGCAGGGAGGTGACTGCTGGAATGAGCTGTCTCCAGCCACTGTAGACTTTGGATCCTGCCTGTAAGTCACAGAGCTCAAAGTGAGCATCAGCAACTGACGTAGCCCAGGTGGCGGGTACTGTCCTGGTCTCTCTGATGGAAGAGCTTGGTGCCAGGCTACATGCTGGGCAATGGCTGAAACAGCTCCCTCAACCCTCACACAGCCCTGTAGAATATGTGGTTGGGTTATATCCTGAGGCAGAGCAGAAACCAAGTCCTGGCTTGCAGAAAGACCAAACCTCAGACCATCTCCTGCCTTACGTTAGGAAGCTGAGGTCAGAGACAGCAAGCGACTCAGCCATGGTCACACAGCTGAGGCCTGGCTGAACCTGATCTGTCATACTTGAAAGCCACAGCTCTTCTGTGTTAGGCTTTCTGGCAGTCTGCCCTCTCAAGCAATGAGACTTCCAAGAATACTTACGTCTCAGGAATAACTTAGAAACCTCAACCAGCACGTCTCAAACTTTGTCCTCTTGTGAACTCAAGCCAGAGTGCTAATGTGTACGCGGGGTTTCCTGAGGCAGTGTGCCGGGCCTATTGCTCAGCTCAGCACTCAAAGGCAGCAGTGGGCCACTGGGAAGGAGACCTGCATATGGCCACCTCACCCAGAGGTCAAAGGTGGGAGGTGCCTGGCCTGCCTCCTGAGCACCTTCCGTATCGGCATAGAGCCATGGCGAAGGCAGAGTGGCTCCCCGCAGCATCATTGGGCCATCTGGTTTCTTTTTAGAAATGTGTGTCGAGGTCTCATATCCTCTCTGAGCCTTAGTATTCTGTTCTGTAAAGTGGGAACAGAATTTCCTTATAGGATTTTTATGAGAATTAAATGAGGTTACCCAGTAGGGTAAAAAAATACGTAAGACTGAGAAAGTGCATGGTTGAATTTTCCTCTTGGGAAGACCCCTGGCTGCTAGGTGGTGAGGACTGGAGGGTGGAGCCCAACAGTGGTGAAGGGGACAGAAAGTGGGGCAGAGGTCTTGAACTGAGTCTGACGCGCCGGCTCTGGTTCCAGATGGTGATGGCCTCCCTATACCACATCTACACCGCCCTGGAGGAGGAGATCGAGCGTAACAAGGGGAACCCTGTCTATGCTCCCCTCTACTTCCCAGAGGAGCTGCACCGCAAGGTTGCCCTGGAGCAGGACATGGCCTTCTGGTACGGGCCCCACTGGCAGGAGATCATCCCCTACACGCCAGCCGTGCAGCGCTATGTGGGGCGCCTCCATGAGGTGGGGCGCACCGAGCCTGAGCTGCTGGTGGCCCACGCCTACACCCGCTACTTGGGCGACCTGTCTGGGGGCCAGGTCCTCAAGAAGATTGCACAGAAGGCCCTGAACCTGCCCAGCTCCGGTGAGGGCCTCGCCTTCTTCACTTTTCCCAACATCAACAGTGCCGCCAAGTTCAAGCAGCTCTACCGTGCCCGCATGAACACTCTGGAGATGACCCCTGAGGTCAGGCGGAGGGTGATAGAAGAGGCCAAGACTGCATTCCTGCTCAACATCCAGGTGAGGGGCCAGTAGACCAGGGTGTTCCTCCTGCCTGCTCCTCCAGGCCGTATGACTGTCACTGGAGGGGGGCTGTGAGTCAGGGATAAGTTCAGGGACTCCACGACTGAGGCCCCAGTTCTGCCACTTACTAGCTGAGCAATTTTGAGTAAATCTCTTATCTCTCTGTTCCTCAGTTTCCCTTACTGCAAAACAGGAATAACAATATCACCCCATTTTAGTGTGTGAAGAAGAAGGGAGTTGGTGACGCACTGGAGGAGTGCTGGGCACAGCATAAGCTTGGTGATGTCACAGGTGATGGCCTGTGACAGCATCTAAGGCTTGATGTACTTGTGTGTAGCCAGGTTGGAGGGATGGGGTTCCCTCTGCCCTCCCACTGCTGGTGGCATCATGAAGGATGGGGTCTCATAGAAGAGACCCACCAGGCACTAGTTACAAAGCAGTGCCCCCTCTAGTCTCCCAAATCCAGTCACTTCTAGAAAACCTGTGCCTTCCAGAGAAGCGTGGCAGAAAGAAAGGGGTTTGGATGCAGAGCCCAGCTGAGGGGCTCCATTCTCACTCTGGTTAGACTTGGGCAAAGGTCTTCTTCACCTCTGGAGCTGTGAATTCCTCATTCAAAACACACCTGACAGAGGGCAAAGCTCACAGCTGCACAGTGGAGAGGAAAGCAGGCTGCAGATGCATATGCGAGGATGCACTCTTGTTTCACAACAAGCATAGTGGTGCTTGGCATAGGGACACAGGGACACGACAGGGTGTGAAGGACAATAGTGAACCCTGGATTCAGGATAGCTGTTATTGGTGGGGACGGGCGGGGGGGTGCATTAGCATTTGGGAAGAGCAGGCAAAAGACCAACTGTATCACATCTTCTCTTACAAGCAGGAGGAAAGATATATGAGTATTTAATAGTTTCTTATAATTTTGTCATTTCCAAAATATTTCATAACCAGACTTAAAACCCTGCCCTCAGATGAGGCCTAGCTGGGTGTTGCACTGACGTGTGGTATATGTCTTTTGTCTTCCAGTTGTTTGAAGAGTTGCAGGGGCTGCTGACCCAGGGCCCCAAGGACCAGAGCCTCTTGGAGGCCCCAGGGCTTCACCGGCGGGCTGGCAGCAGGGCACAAGGTGAGGGCTTCCAGGAGGGCATCTTTTCTGGGCTCCTGTCAGAGGGGACACGGCCCAGCTGCCTGTCTCCAATATTTCTTTACTCTTATGTCGTTTTAACTGAGAAGTGGGATGCAAACAAAAGGGCATGAAGTCAGCCTTCAGTGTGTGACTGTGGTCAAGCTGTGAAACTTCTCAATACCTCAGTTTCCCCACCTCAAAAATCAAAAGAGGTTGAGCTCAGTCCGGTTCATTGGCTCAGATGTGCATAGAAACCTCCTGGATGTGGACGACCTTCCACCCCTTCACTTAGACTTCATTTAGGCCAGAGTAAGGTAAGGATTTAGGGACCTGCTTCCAGCTGCTGACCCACCAGGGATGCTGGGAAGACACTTAACACCTGGGTCCTGTGTATCAGTCCCTTCCTCCTGCACCTCACAGCTGTAGAGGCTGCAGTTGTAATGGGAACATCGGAGACTTCCAAAAAAGGGCTCCACAAAATGAGCCTGTCACCCACGTGAGGGAGTGTGGCCCTGGGAGTGGCTGGCAGCAGAGAGGACTTACTTAGTCTCCTATAGGACAGGTCTTTGAGGCTGTCTCTCCCAGTGTCACCCTAACTCACCAGGCCTGTGGCTCTCCCACGTGTGCCAGGACCTCACAGACCCCACTCACTGACAGTCTGGAGGGTTGGAATGTGGCCATTTGGGTGGAATAGCCATCTGCTGGGGTGAGGGGACCTTGCCCTGGGGTAGCAGTTTTCAAACCCTCTTAAGGGAGTCTGTAGAGTCAACATTATTGTTAAGCCACTGTTTACTGATACTTCTGTAGAGTATTTTTAGTGGTACTGGGGTTTGAAGTCAGGGTTTTGTGCTCACAAGGCAGGGGCTCCACCCTTGAGCCATGCCCCCTGTCCCTTTTTGCTCTGGTTATTTTGAGGATAGGGTCTCAATTCTTGGACCTCGAGCCCCTTTTACACTTCCTACCATGGCTGGGATGACAAGCATATACCCATGCTCAGCTTTCTCTGTTGAGATGGGGTCTTGAAAACTTTTTTCTTGGGTCAGCCTGGAATCTCGATCCTCCCCATCTCAGCCTCCTACATAGCTGGGATGGCAGGTATGCATCACCGGTTTGCTGCTTTGAAGACTGATTTTCTCATGTTGGCGTTTTCCAAACCCCTCAAATATCTGATCGCTGACAGATACATGCCTGGGTGTCTTGTGTGCAATCAGTTTCTCAGTTTGGTGGCCTGGGGCCAGGGCTTGTAGCCTATAAATGATGGTGTGTGTGTGGTGGGGGTGGGGGAGATGAATTTGAATTCTGACCCCAGAAGTTCCACTTTTTAGCTCCTGTCCTGTTCCCCACCCTTAGGAAGTGTATTGGAGTCTGAGGTAATTCTCAGCTCAGACCTACTGAACAGCAAAGCTTAAGGGGAGGGCCTTCCTGACAGGCAGAAGTCTGAAAAACATGCCAGGGCCCAGGAGCTCCCTCATTCAGTGGTTGGGCTGAGTATGGAAGAACAGACTTGGGCAGGTGGTGTGCTCCCCATCTCTGAAGGGATTCAAGCAGTGGCTAAGAGACACCTGTCTGTACTCTGACAGAATGATGGCCTTAAGCAGGAACTGTACAAGAGACGCCCAGGCCCCTCTGTTTGTCTGTGATGTCAGATGTCCCACGCCACCTGCCTGGGGTTCACCTTACCTGCTCTTTTCTTTCAGACCCCACTCCTGTGGAGGCTCCCAGAGGGAAGACTCAGCTTAGCAGCTTCTCCCAGGCTCCACTCATTCGATGGGTCCTCACTCTCAGCTTTCTGGTGGCAACGGTGGCCATGGGGCTTTATGCCATATGAAGAAAAGTGTGTTGGTCCCCAGGGGCCATGAACTCTGTCCAATGAAGGGCCTTCTCTCTGGAGAGGTGGAATCTCTTGCCTGACTCTCTTATCTTGGGTACGGGAAGCTGTTGGAACTCCCACCCTTCTCCCCATGACCCTCTCTCTCTGGAATAGAGGGGGTGTCTATGGCATGACTCCCCACCAGTAGCACTTCCAGCCAGTGGCCTGAACTTCAGAACTAAGCAGCCCAGTTCCTGTAGCAGAGCCCAGAAGACATGATCAGAAGCAACAGCTGCCCTGGGTCCTGGTATTCATGTTGGCATGACGATGACCGCTTTCCCATGGGTCATGGCCATTTTTACATCAGAGTGCAGAGATGTTGTGTCTTGTATTTCTTACATCCACTCTTTGTTTCTGGTTCCGCCTGAACTGTGTGGTATTATTATTATTATTATTATTATTCTGTTTTTATAACAGGGTATGGATGTCATTTTTGGGGGGGGGGTGAGAAGGGAGGTGTTTAACAGGACCATGGTCTTGGTCTCCAACTTTCCTCTGAAATAATAAATGGCATTGTCTGAAAGCAACTCTGAGTGTTTCCATGGGCTCTGTTGTCACAGGGGAGCAAGCTGCCTTTTCCCTCACTTTTCTCCTGAATGCTGGTGGGTGGCAAAGATGGCCTTGGTAGAAGGTGGTTTGGTTGGGAGGTGAGCTTTAAACAGTTGAGCAAATCGTTGTGTTGAAACCTTGTTTGATGCGAAACTCACCTTTGCTGAAGTTGGGGGCTGCCCAGTTAGGCTGACGTGAACAGCCTCTGGGGTACAACTAATTATACTCTGAATAGTGACTCCTAGGGACTGGCAGCAATCCCTGGGTTCAAATTTCTGCCACTCCACTTTGAGGTTAGTTACTTACTGTCTCTGGGACACAGTTTTATCCCTGTAACATAAACAGCCATGTCTGCTTCACCTGCCTGTCTTGAGAACCAAATGTCAACACCTAACACCATTAGCTCCTGTGCAGGGAGATCAGAGTCTTCTGATTTTTTTACTGTGGTAGTTGCCTCACCTGTCACCCCTAGATTAATTCTCACAGCTAACTGGACCCCTATCTGAGGCTCAGGAAGGATTTGAACCAGATCCAAGTTCTGCAACCTAGGTTCTTTCACTGCCCTAAGTTGTGAAAGTCCCCAAAATACTCAACATACAGCTTCTCAACCTATAAAGTAAAAACTCTTAGCTGAAGCTGGACTGGCAGAGTATCTGAGGCCTGGGAGTCAGGAGAGCTTTGTCCTTCATTCTGGGTTTGTCACTATGACTGGAACCTTTTTTTTTTTTTTTTTTGTGGCACTGGGGTTTGAACTCAGGTCCCACTCTTGCTAGGCTGGTGCTCTACCAATTGAGTCACTCTGTCAGCCCTTTTTTGTGTTGGGTATTTTGGAGATAGAATCTTGTGAACTATTTTGCCAAGGCTGGCCTTGAACCGTGATCCTCCTGATCTCTGCCTCCCAAGTATCTAGGATTATAAGCATGGGCCACTGGCACTTAAGTCTGGAAACTTGAGCAAGTCACTTCAAATCTCACTTTGTTCATTGGAAAACTGAGAACCTGCCTCCCATAGCTGATGGAAGGAGCCAGTGGTATCTAAGCACCACTCTGCATGGCAGCATCTGAGTTCCCTGGAAACACTAAAGCACAGAGCCTAGAGCTCTGCATTGAGCGGTCCCATTCTGGAGACCTGGGATGGAACTCCAGGGTCACCCAGCAGTCATAAAGGTGCTGAGATTCCAGTGTGCAACCAAAACCAACAGCCATTCTATGATATGTGTATAATTATGAGATTATATGCACATATGCAGAGTGTAGGGATCAGACAGCAGCTGGAGCTGACCCCTCAGTTCCCTTGTCTGTGAAAAGGACAAGACATTCATTATTGTGACAGCAAGGAAGGATGGGGCGGCAAGAGAAATCGTCTTGGATTATGCAAAAAGGAGAATAGCTGAATAATTTCTATCAAATGTCAAAGATAAACAAACCCAGATGCTAGTTAAAATTATAAGAACAGATTTTAGTCAATAATAACTATTAAAATTCAGCGTGACGTGAACTTCAATTTGTACACAAGTGAATGGGAAGTTTTTGTTTTTTTGAGGAATTTTTTTTTTTTTTTTTTGGTGGTACTGGGGCTTGAACTCAGGGCCTCATGCTTGCTAGGCGGCACTCTACCTATTCCAGTCCCTAGTTTTTGTTTTTCAAAATGGTATTTTGCTATGTTGCCCAAACTGGTGTGAATTCTGGCCTCAAGGGATACTCCTGCCTTGGTCTCCAGCCGCTGGGACTACAGACCAGTACCACCATACCTGACTGGGCATTTCTAAAAGAGAGGTTGAGGGAATACAAAGGGGGCTGAGTACAGTTAGGGAAATGAAAAATTACAAAGGGCTACTCAGTTTACTTTTATTGTTATTTTTCATTTATTTATTATTTTGGGTCTACTGGAGTTTGAACTCAGGCCCTCATGCTTGCTAGGTAGGCACTCTTCCACTTGAGCCACACTCCCAATAAATGGCTACTCAGCATAAATGTCATGAGGCCAGTTGCCATGAGGCAATGACCTCAATTAGGTTTCTATCCTCCCACAGAGGCAGGAGACAGGGGTTCTACCCTCAGGTGCGGGGTAGAACAAACAGTGAAAATGTTTCTGTCAGCCTTGACTTTTCTCAGGCTGACAAGGGTCATATTTGAGATGTGGTCTTGAGCCATTAGAAATACTAGTGGTCATTCAAGCCTTTATTTTTATTCATTTATTTTGCAGTGCTGCAGACGGAACCCAGCATGTTCTAAGTCTGTAAAGATCAAGGCTGAGGCTTAGTAAAGAGGGCTCAGAGGAACCTGGGTAGTTTGTCGAAGAGAGAAACTTCCTTATCATACCACAGAAAACTAAGAAGCCATTAAAGTAGAATGAGCTAAATCTGTATCTCTTAGCACAGAGGGATGTCCGTGGAGTATTATTGAGAAAACTAAGTTTTTCTTCAGCACTGGGGGGATTGAACCCAAGGCGTTGGGCACTGGGCAAGTACAGCTACCACTGAGTCCCTGAGCTTTTGCTTTTTGTGAGTCAGGGCCTGTGTAGCCCAGGCTGGCCTCCAATTTACTGTCCTCCTGTCTCAGCCTCCTGGAGGGCTGGGTATTACAGATGAGTACCACTATGCTGGCTTCATTTTATTTTTTTCCTGCACTGAGGTTTGAACTCGGGGCCTTACAGTTGGTAGGCAGGTCCTCTTACTACTGGAGTCACTCTGCCAGCTCTTTTTTGTGATGGGTGTTTTCAAGATAAGGTCTCCCTCAACTTCTACCCAACCTATTTGCCCAGGCTGGCTTTGAACCATGATCCTCCTGAGCTCTGCCTCCTGAGTAGCTAGGATTATAGGCGTGAGACACTGGTGCCAGGGACTGGCTTCATATATCTATAAATTGGGGTTTGAGCTCAGGGCTTGGTGCCTGCTAGGCAGGTGCTCTACTGCTTGAGCAGAGAGATACACATTTGATATATACACACACACGTATACATACATATTTTTTCTATTCCACTGGTATTTTTATAACTGTAAAAACGCACATGAACTCTGCAAACAGGAGTTTGTGTGACAATGGCAGAGAGAACACAAAGTTCTTTCTGGTCGATCATTGTGGGGGTAGGAAAGCAAATTGCACAGCCCGGTTCACCAAATCTGCCTTTTTTTCCCCAAGATTTCCACTTGGAAATTGGGTTGAATTTTCACACATTTTAAGCATTTCCAAATAATTAAAAACTTTCTATACGAAGCTCTGTGTTCAAATCCTAGTACCACCAAAACCAAAACTTTCCACAATTTTCATCACCATTTGGGTCTGGGTCAAAGAAAACATCCCCTATCCCCCCTGTCCCAAATTTGGGGCGAATTCGACCCTAGCGGGCAGGTGAGCTGGCGGGGACCCGCCTGTCCCGGCATGGCTGGAGGGCTGTGCTTCTCGGCACCTCCCCGAGGGCGGGCCGCGGGGCAAGCGGACACTCCTCAGGGTCGTCTCCCGGTGCAAACCGGACAACCGAACCCCACCATTTCTGAACCCCTAGTTCTCCCCGCTCCCCGATTCCCTCGGGGCTTTGAAATGGGCACTTTCTCATAAGACTTCAAAAAGGGCGTCCAGCACAGCCCACGGGCCCGCCCCGCCGCCATCTTTGCACAACTCCTCTCGCGACCACGGCTTCCTTTTCCATCAGAAGTTTCGCGCCAAATTGTTCCGTACACAAAATGGAACCCGGAAAGAGGCGGGGCACAATGGCTTGCGCGCCACAGCCAATCCTCTTCGGCAACCGGCCTGGTAGGCGGGACTCGCAGGCCCAGAGCGGCCCAATCGCTGGCCGCGGGACCCCAGCGAACCAATGGGAGCGCATTTGCTGCAGCGCCGAACGCGGCATCTGGGTTTTTCCCGCGAAACTCAGCTGCTGAGCGTGGAGGTTCGTGTTTCTCCGGGTGTGCGTGATCCAGGAAGGGAGAGGTGAGGCCGGAGGGACAGGGAGCGAGGGCCGGGGACGCTGCAGCACTGCAGTGCGCGGGGAGGATCGGCGTCTGCGTTTCCAGGCGCCGCAGGGAGAGGCGGGCCCCCGGCGTCCGAGGGAGCGGGGGCCGCACCGCCCGCATCCGGCTCAGCAGTCCGTTCCCGCGCCAGGTGCAGTCATGTCGGGCTTCGACGACCCTGGCGTTTTCTACAGCGACAGCTTCGGGGGGGACCCCGGCGCCGACGAGGGGCAGGCCCGCAAGTCGCAGCTGCAGCGGCGCTTCAAGGAGTTCCTGCGGCAGTACCGAGTGGGCACGGACCGCACGGGCTTCACCTTCAAGTACAGGTGCGGGGGCGCGGCGCCCGCACACCCTCCCCACCCTACCCAGCCCGGGGTCGGGGCCCCGCTGCGGTGGGGCCAGAGGCTCCGGGGCATAGGCTTTGACGCTGGATCTTAGTTCAGCCGTGGATGGGTCCGTCACATGCCAGCACGGCCGTCTGGGCCCTTCGGCCCTTTGTCCGCTGTCTTACTGCCCTTCCTGTGTTACCTGGTGATGCGTGAACGCAAGCTCCCCAGGGCGTGAGCCGTGGCACCGCAGTGAACTTCACCCGTTTGCGTCTTTGTTCTGATCTTGCACTTCCAGGGGCCCAGGCCTCACTGTTCTGGGTGCTGGCCCAAGACACTGCTCCTGTCCACTCCTCTGCCCGTGACATCACCCTGGAGACCCAAGGATGCCTGGACATGAGTTTTCGGGCCAGGATTGGGCTCCTATCTTTACTAGCTGAGTGTCTTCCCGGTGTCAGTGTCTCTGGGCCTCAGCCTTCATCGGAAAGATGAGCAAAGCCATTTACTCATGCAGTAGCTGACATGGGTCACCTGTGTGCCAGGCACTGAGAAAAAAACATGAAGACATTTGTTGTAAGATCATGAGTCAGGGAAGAGAGGCATAGAGGCTGGCAGGTGAATTCTTCAGGTGATAGTTGCTTTGTAGAAGAATGTGCACAGAGTCAGGGGTTAGGGAAGTCTCCCTGAGGAGCTGGAGTTTGAGGTGGGGAAGACATTCTAGGTAGGCACGAGGGTTCCAGGGGTGCTTTTACAGCACAGGCCCTCAGAGCCAGGCTGGGTGTTACATTGGCCCCTGGACATTGAATAGAAGAAATAGGGCCTGTGAGACTGCGAGGTGGGGAGCAGGCTGTGCACAGCTCAGTGGTCCCCAAATATTTTCTTGGGATGGTAGCCCATAGGATGCTCTTTTAAAAGGCTCTCCTTGGTTGTTGACAAGATTAGTCATGTTCTCTGCTGCCTTGGAGCTCCAAGTTTGAGACAGGTGCCCTTTTAGTCTCCAGGAGTGAGTTAAGGGCCCTGAGGAGTGTTGCAGTAAAAGAACTGGCTGCTGTCATGTGTGCACGGGTGTCCTTTGACCATGTTGTACCATGGATTGTGTCCCTGGAGTTTTCTTTAGTGGTTGCCCTTCTTGGCAATAGGGAGCCTCTTTGGGGCTAAATGATGGAATGACCTGGAATTAGATGCATATTTGGAAGGAGGAGTGGTGGCTGTGTGGGGTTGGATCAGGCTGTGCATGTGCCACAGTCAGCATTGGTTTCTTCTGCATTCTGTTCCTGTGCTGCCCACTCCAGGGATGAACTTAAGCGGCATTACAACTTGGGGGAATACTGGATCGAGGTGGAGATGGAGGACTTGGCCAGCTTTGACGAGGACCTGGCTGACTACTTGTACAAGCAACCAGCTGAGCACCTGCAGCTGGTGAGTGGGACATATCCCAGAGCTCTGCAGGACTGGCCCTGGCCTGTCACCAACAGCTTGTGCTCTTCTTCCTCTCCAGCTGGAGGAAGCTGCCAAGGAGGTGGCTGATGAGGTAACCCGGCCTCGGCCCACTGGTGATGAGGTGCTCCAGGACATCCAGGTCATGCTCAAGTCGGACGCTAGCCCATGTAGCGTTCGGAGCCTGAAGGTAGGTTCGTTAAGAGGCCAGTCCAGGGCTTTCAACACAGGCATTCCTGGGTACTGACTGTGTGACCTGAGCACAGGGATCCCAAACCTGTTCCTGTAAAATGAACTCACTGGACACATGTTTACTGAGCTTGTCCTAGGAGCAAGGCATTGAGTTGAGTCTTGGAGAAACTGCTGAAGTACACAGTGAACTCCTGACCAAGCGAGAAGACTGAGAAACCTATAAACATAACCCACCATAATTTTAGATGGTCGGAAATATACAATGAAAGACAACTGAGAGTGTGACAAAGTGTGGGGGCCTCTCTAGGAAAGATGGAGAAGCTTCTGAGAGGAGGTGACGTGAGTGGAGATAGGGCAGCATGCAGACAGTGGTAAGAGACCATTCTGGGAGGGAGAGTGGTATCCAGCTGGTGAAAAGCTTGGTGAGTGGCATGGTACATTCAAGGTGGCTATATTGACAGACTGCCACCATGGCTTAAAGAGTCATGAGGAGGCAGGAGAGGTTGACAGGACCTGTCTGTCAACCACTCATTTGTTTTGTTCAACAGATAAACTGAGTTGCTGCTACCTGCCCAGTGTTGTGCTGCTGTGGTGAACAGGTCCTTGTTTTGGAACTTACAGAGGCAGAAACAGAACAGTTAGATGATTTCAGGTAGTGTGATGGAGGCATGAAGAAAAGAAAATGGGGGCAGTGTGACTATGGTTGAGGGAGGGGAAGGGTGGCCAGAGAAGGCCTCCAAAGAGGTGATGTTGGAGCCTGATCTGAGTAATGTGTAGTCAGCAAGATGACAGCTCAGGGAAGAGCATTCCAGGCTCAAGGAGAAGCTGGTGGCAAGGCAATGTAGTGACAGTGATGGCCTGTTGGGAGAAATGAGAAGAAGTCTGCGGTTAGTGTGAGCCACCAGCAAAGTGAAGGTTTTGTTTGGAGCATAGTAGGAAGCCAGCAGAGGTATAAGTAGAACTGCCTGATTCTGTTTTCTTTTAGTTGTGGTGGGGATGGAACTCAGGGTCTTGTGCATGCTAGGGAAGTGCTGTAACTGAGCTACATTCCCAGCCCCCTTATTCCATTTTCAAAAAAATCCCTTTAGCTGCTGGTATGGAAGAGGATATGTAAAATAGGGCTGGGCTCTGGTGGCTCACACCTGTAATCCTAGCAAGAGGCAGAGATCAGGAGGATCACGTTTAGAAGCCAGCCTGGGCCAATAGTTCGAGAGACCCTATCTTGAAAAAACCCATCACAGAAAGGGGCTGGTGAAGAGCCTCACAAGGCTCTGCCTGTCTGTGGTGGCATTAGACTTTTGTGGGGGCGGCCTTTGGCTCCACTGGGAAATAGGTTCTTCTCAGACTCACCAGGTAACTGAATGAATGGCCTGTGAATGGTCTGCTCTCAGATTGCCTGTTGGGGTGGCCTGGGTGAATAGGAAACCTCAGACCTTTCCACTTCTGCGGTCCTGGAGGGTTAGGATACCTGTGCTATTGTGGTTTTCCAGATGCTTGCTCTGTGCTGTGGGTTGTTCTGGGGTTCTAGCCTCCTGAGTCTGGGTAGGTTCCTGTGGCTCTGGCCCTGTTTACTAGAGATGGTCAGCCTCCTTCCTCTGTTTCTCCTCCAGCTCCAGGCTCCCTAGGTCCAGGGTGGCACACATCTTCCTCAGAGCGGGAAGATGGCAAAAGGAACTTCTCTTGTCTTTTGCTCTTTATTATGAAAAACTTCACCCCCACACAAAAATATGGAGTAGCATAATGAGCCCCATTTGTATCTTTACCTGAATTTAATGACTGTTAATATTTTTGTCTTTTTTTTTTTTTTTTGCTGCTTTCTCATTTATTTACTAAAGAACTTTAAAGTAAATTATAGATGTGACACTATAAGCCTCCTGGAGCGCTGGGATTTTAGGTGTCACCATGCCCAGCTTCGTAAAGTTACGAAATTTTTTAAAACAATGGTTTCTAACTTTACTGCCACCAGTACCTTAACAAAATTAGCAAAGAGTCCGTGGTATCACTGAGTATATAGTCTAGATTTGGATTTACCTGATTATCCCAAATGTCTTTTATAGCCTGTGTATTTCAGTGAGGACCAGATGTTATATTGGGCTGTTGTTTATCTTAAGTCTCTCTTACTCCAGAAAACATTTCTGGATGTAAGTCCTTTCTTAGTTACGTTATTGACTAGTAGAAGAGGCAGGACTGAAGAAGAATGTGCCACCTTGGGATTTATCTGAAGGCTTCCTTGGCTGCCTGTATATTTTGGAATCTGGAAGTTGTGTCCTAAGGTCTGGTTGCATTCTGGTTTTACATAATGGGTAGGAGTGATATTGGTGCTTTATTTAGAGGGAGTCATGCCTGTATGCTAATCATTCATGGTGCTTAGATCAACCAGGTTGAGGCAGCAGCAGCTTCATCTTTCCATGGTAATAATGTAGGCATAGCCCTTTGAATTCAGCCTCCTTGGCCTCACCTCTGTTTCTCACAACCTCTTCCTAGTTTGTTGAGTGCCCTGTTGAAACCTTGTGCCCATGTCTGTTCTCTCATCCAGCCCAAGGTAGTGTCACTACTGAGATAGGTGGTAGAGAGAGACTGCCCTGGTTCTGCAGATTCGTGTCCTAGGAGCTCTGTGAGGTGAGGGCTGGCACAGAAGGCAGCAACATGGCTGGGGATTTATCTTCTCTTTTTATATAGATGAAACATTCGAACGTACAGAGAGTAGAATAATGAGTCCCCTGGCACTTACCACCCAGCTTAATAACTAGCAACTGAGGCCTCATTTGTGGCTATGCAGCTCTTTCTTGAGGCAAGTCCCATTCATCATGTTTTATCTGGAACCGTTTCAGCATGTATCTGGAAGATAAGGAATCTTTTTTTTTTTTTTGGTGGAATTGGGGTTTGAACTCAGGGTTTCATGCTTGCAAAGCAGGCACTCTACTGCTTGAATCACCTTCCAGTCCATTTTGCTCTGGTTATTTTGAAGATGGGTTCTCACAAACTATTTGTCCACAGTGTCCTCAAACTGCAATCCTATCTCAGCCTCCTAAGAGCTAAGATTACAGGCATGAGCCACAGGCACCCAGCAAGGAATCATTTTTAAAGTGTGGCCACAATGAAGTTATACTTCACACTGACCATTTCTATCTTGGTATTTGGTAGGACTAAAACCCTAAGTAGTCCTTACGGTGGAGATAGAGAAGGTCTCACAGCAGTGTGGGACAAAATTTGAATTGCAAGTTGGGCCCCTGCCCCAGGGCAGTTCTCTGTGATAGTACACAGGTCTAGGGAAGTTCCCATCAGAGCTGATTCAGGTGTCCTCCCTGCCACTTTGTAGTGGCATGCACTTCCTCTGTGTCATTTCCTTTCCCTTCTCCCATTGTGCTGTGAGGTCCTTAAAAGCAGGTATTGCACCTGGGGCTCCTACCTCTGTCCAAGTAGGCTAGTGTTAGGCAGATGCTCTGGGAAGGTTTTATTTTTTTGTGGTACTAGAATTTGAACTTAGGACATCAGGTTTGCTAGGCAAGTACTGTACTATTTGAATTACTCTGGCAACCTTTTTTCATATTGAGTATTTTGAAGATAGGATCTCGAGAACTGTTTCCCCAGACTGGCTTTGAACTGCAATCTTCTTGATCTCTGTGTCCTGAGTAGCCAGGATTACAGGCGTGAGGCACTGGGTGCCCAGTTTGGGAAGGGTTTTTTTTGTTTTGTTTTGGGGGTTTTTTGTTGGTACTGGGGTTTGAACTCAGAACCTCACACTTGCTAGGTAGGTACTCTGCCACTTGAGGAGGCTTTTATGTTTTTGTTTTCTTTCTCTTTTTTTGCCATGCTAGGGTGTTTTGGTGGTACTGGGGTTTCAACTCGGGGCCTCACACTTGCTAGGCAGGCACATCACCACTTCAGCCACTCCACCAGCCCTGTTTTATGTTGGGTTTTTTTGAGATAGGGTCTCTTGAACTATTTGCCTGGGCAGGCTTCAAACCTCGATCCTCCTGACCTCTGTCTCATGAGTAGCTAGGATTACCCTCCTATTTTATGTTTCCTGCCATAGCTGGGATGACAGGTGCACGTCACTACACCCAGCTATTGGTTCATTTGTGGTCTTGTGAACTTTTTTGCCTCAATTGATGTCGAACTGTGATCATCTGATCTCAGCCTCTTCTGACTTTGGGAAGTTTTTGAGCTGAACAGAAGAGCTGTGGCCCTCCCCACAGCACCATGCCTTCTCCAGAACATTCCCCAGCTCCTTTCCTATGTTCCCTGATTCCCTTTAACTAAGAAGGCTCCCTATGGCTCTGTAACAGTCGGACATGATGTCACACCTAGTGAAGATCCCAGGCATCATCATTGCAGCCTCTGCAATCCGTGCCAAGGCCACCCGCATCTCCATCCAGTGCCGCAGCTGCCGCAACACCCTCACAAACATCGCCATGCGCCCTGGGCTAGAGGGCTACGCCTTGCCCAGGAAGTGCAATGCGTGAGTATGCAGCCAGGAGGGACCTTGGGGAAGTGACCTGAGTGGAGATTAGAAAGGCTGAGAATGGTGGCAAGCACTGCCTGCAGCTGCTTATTAGAGACCCTCTGGGAAGGACTGAGCATGGTATCCCTCCAAATTGGTGAGCTCTGTCCCCAACAGGATGCACAGACAGCCTGTGTGGAGAACCAGGCTTGAGAGGAAATGCAGTCCAGGGCAGTGAGTCTATCTGGAATTTTTTTTTTTTTTTTTGCAGTACTGGAGTTTGAACTCAGGGCCTCACGCTTGCTAAGCAGGCGTTCTACCACTTGAGCACCAGTCCTTTTTTGTGTTGGGTATTTTTGAGATAAGGTCTTGCAAACTATTTTCTTGGGGCTGGCTTCAAACTGTGATCCTCCTGATCTCTGCCTCCTGAGTAGCTAGGATTACAGGCATGGGACACCAGCCCTCAGCTATCTGGAATCTTCTAAAGCAAACTAGCAAAGTAGGCCAGATCCCGTATGCCAGCTATCCAGTCCAAGAACACTCCTTTGTTTAATGTGTTGCCATTGACTGCAGAGGTCAAGTGTGTGGCCTTTTGGCTTTCAGAGCTAAAATACTTGCTGTCTGGCCTTTTACAGGAAGAGTTTGCCAGCTTTGATCTAGAGGCTCCATCCCTTACCCTGGCTGCTGGCTCTTGACCTTCTCAGCTGGCTCCTTCTCAACTTGCCTTCTTTGTTTTGGGCTGTTGCCAGCCTCACCTGGAGCCATGTAGTACAGTTCCCTGCTCCCTGCGTCCACTGTCAACCCCCAAGTCTGTATACTCTGCAGCCAAGTGGTCTCTGCTCTCCATAGCCTGCTCTGCCTCCTGCTGGCCTCTCCTCCTCTCCTGTGTAGGACCGGCCACGTTGCCTCCTTCCTGGTCCTGAATACGCCAAGTCCAGACCAACCTTAGGCCTGTGAACTTGCTGTCCTCTTTGTTGGAAGCCCTTCCCTCAGGCACCATAGCACCCTCATTACTCTTTTAGGCACCTCACATAATACACACAGGTGCCTCTCCCACCTTCCCTGTTATATTTGACAAACATACCTGGTCACCCTCACCTGCCTATTTTCACTTTTCATTACATGGACCCTGGGTTTCATTATTAGTTATTTGCTTGTTTACACAAACAGCTCCATAAAGCAGGGCCTTTTTGTTCTTGCTGTGTTCCCTCACGGATATATATATTGCTGTGTATTTGTTGAACAAAAGCTTTTATCATATAGAAGCTTTGACCCTCAGAATGGTCTTAGAGGTGCCTGGACTCACTGGAAAAGATCCTGGACTATGAGTATCGTGTCGTAAGAAACTTGATCCAGCTGTTCACCAGTATGGATGCTGAGACTTTGTGAGGAGACCATGTGTGTGACTTGTCTGCCACCAGTGTATTGGTGGAGGAGCCAGTCCTATCACAGTTCTCCTGATTTCTGATCTGGTGCTTGATCAACAAAGGAGCTGCCCTCCTTTTGGGGCCAGCTTATCCCAACTCCATCTTAAATTGCTGATGAACATGTCTGGTTGCTGACTCCTGGATGAGCCCCCATCCTTTGGGTTCTCAGGATAGCTCTGTGACCCCTTACTCTCCCACACCCAGACACATGCAGCTGTACTGCGACAGGTAGATAGGAGGAACTGAGCAGTGAGCTTCCATGAGGGCAGTGTTCCGGCTGCACCCTCACCCAGATGCTGGGCTTGGGTCATCTGAGTGCTGGGTGTGGTGAAGGGAGGATGGCTAATCGTAGGGTACTTTAGTCCCTATTTTACATGTGAGGAGAGGTAACTCAGGAGATTGATAAATGGCTTTGCTGGTGGGAGAGTAGGCCTTGAGCCTATGTCTGTTGGCTTTCCAAGGCCTCTGTTCTTCCTAGGAGCAGCTCTCCAGCCCTTTGAAAATTGGCAGGCCCAGCAGATAACCAGCTGCTGGGACACCCTCTACCCAGCCTGCCCCTACCCCACTAAGGCATCTTGTTAAGAGTCTGCGCTAGGGTTTTGCTGAGTGATTGGACAGAGAGAGAGGCACTGGGCCTCGATCCCTCACAGCAACCTGGGTAGAAGGCTTGGAGAACCAGGGTCCTTAACCTGAGCTTTCATACCCTCAGATCATTGTGCAAATGTAAAGCTTTCTGGGGAGCATTTCATAGCTGCCATCATCATCAGTGGCAATGGCAAGTCTAGGAAGCAGACTCTTGGGAAGTTACATGAATTTGCTGAGCTTCAGTTTCCTCATCAATAAAATGGGATAAAGACCATCTTTAATTTCATAAGACTGCCTGAAAATGCGTGTCAAAGTTTAGCACAGTTGTTGAACACAACTTGAGTGTTGGGTATAATCCAGAAGGCATAGGAAATGGGTGTGGAATAAGAGTTGGATACGGGGATAGTCTTGTGTAGACATGACTTGATGGTGTGTAGAGCATGTAGCTTGATTCCACAACAATTGAGGTAGGTCAGATTATCATCTCCCCAGGATCAGAGAAGTGCAGTGACTTCTTTGATGTCACACAGGTACTTTGTACCCCATCCATGACACTGGCTCTGAGAGAACTTGAAGATGTCCCCCTTTCAATGTCTTATTTTTAAAAGGAAATGAAAATGCAGAAGCAGAATGACTTGGCTGAGATTGTGGAACCAGGCAGAGGCAGAAAATGGGGAGCATTCCTTACAGGGAAGATGGGAGGGCATGGGAAGTCTTCCCCTGAGGTGACTGAAGGGAGCCATGTGAGGAGCCTGATGGCAGATACAGTGGAGATAGCCCTTCTGATGGGCTGGGGGTGGAGCATCAAGCCTTCCCCACAACCAGCAAATGAACTCTTGAAATTCAGAGAGTCAAACCACAACCATTGTCAGTGGCATGCGCCGAAACAGTTGAGCCATCCAGGCATGGTGGAGGTGAAGAGGACAGGGACCCTTTCTCTGGGCCCTGTGGGGGTGGAGCCAGTCCAGGGAGTATGTTTGGGGAAAATGCTAAGCTGCCTATGAGTGTTGTGAGTGGGTGGAGTCAGGGACTCCCTACACCATCACCTCATTCTCACTTATCTTTCCTTCCCTGTCTTCCTCCCAGGTACCTGTGTGACAAGGTTGTGCCTGGGAACAGGGTTACCATCATGGGTATCTACTCCATCAAGAAGTTTGGCCTGAACTCCAGCAGGGGCCGTGACAGGGTGGGCGTGGGCATACGGAGCTCCTACATCCGTGTCCTGGGCATCCAAGTGGACACAGATGGCTCTGGTGAGCTGGCTTTGGGGTCTTGGCTTGGCCTTGTCAAAAGGCTGGGCTTGTACACCTCCCTTAACAATGAGCTTATTACCCCATGAGGTCACCAGGCAGCGTTGAATTGGTCATACATTAGAATGTTTGCTTTTGTAGTGAGCAAAAATTTATTGTCCTGAAATGTCCACCTGATGGTCCTAGATGTGATCCCAGCACTGAGGATCCTGTGCACTGAGGATGTTTTGCCCAAATGCAGGATCGAGGCTGGAGGTCTCAGTGCGATCGATCTGTGGGGAATTACTGCACAATGCACTGGGAGTGCTGTGCTGCAGCTCTGCCCTGTAGCACGAGTCAAAGGAGAAGTGAATGCAGAGTTCTAGGCAGGCAGCAGAAATGATGCTGGGCACAGGTTGATGGTGGTGGTAGGGAGGGTGTCAGATGCCGCATTGTGTGGTTCTGGGGAGGTGCTGTAGGATGTCAGTGCTGGCTGGGCCTGGTGGGAAGGTTTCCTCCAGGAAGGGGTCTGAACTGGCTTTGCAGGATGAAGGTATGGAGTATCTTCCAGGCAGGAGCTGGTGAAGTGCCTAGTGGTTGGGCTACCTAGTGGCTAGAGGGCTGGTAGAAGTTGGGGATGAGTGACTAGGTTCTTACAAAGGGCCTGAGCTCCAAGATGGAGTGGAAAGCTCATGCTGACATTACACCCAGAGCTGTGGAGGCCTCTGAGGAGTGTCAGGTGACCCCGGTTCTGGCTGCAGTGACTCTCGAAGAATGGGTTCTCCAGCCTCTGTTTATGGTCCAGTGTGTTAGAGTTGTAAAAGCCACGTATGTACTGCCAATTCATACTTGACCATCTCCAGACTTGCCTCTCCCCTTGTTCCAGAGTTAATTGACTGGGCTGCCCACTTAGACCTTGAAGAGGAATACAGAGGGGCTTTCCTTTCCCACCCTCCCACTGGTCCTCTCTTAGCCTTCCCTTCCTTCCAGTTGCTTAGCACCCCCTCTTGTAAGTCCTCATCCTCCTAACCTCATCTGTCAGCACATTTAGCCACTCACTTTTTTTTTTTTTTTTTTGGGTTAACCCCCCCTTCCCCCCACACACAGCACCTTTCTTTCAATATGCCCAGTATCTGGTTACTTCTCACCATCCCTCCCTGGTCTGAGCATTGGCCCCTCCCCTGTGTTGCTGGTCTTCCTGGTCTCCCTGCCTTCCCCTGGCCCCTGTCCTCTCCGTTCAGCAGTAGCTAGAGTGAGCAATGTTGTGATCACTGATACCATGTCATTTCTTGGCCCAAGCTTTCTACCCTTTTGGCAAAATGGGAGAGTTGCCTGTGTGATCTGCCCTCTGAATGCTCAGACCCTTCTCTAGCCTGCCCTTCCCTTCACTCACTGGCCCCCAGGACACACCAGGCCCACTTTTGAGGCTCTGGGAACCTTGGGATAGCTCTGGGGCCCTCTGACCTTACTTAGACTTAGGGTGTGTTGTCTTGGCCCTGCGAGCCCTTCCTCGGGATTCCTAGGCTGGGGCCAGGCTGGATGGAGGCGGTGCTTCCTCCCTCATGCACCTGCCCTTCCTGCCCAGGCCGCAGCTTTGCTGGAGCCCTGAGCCCACAGGAGGAGGAGGAGTTCCGTCGCCTGGCTGCCCTTCCCAATGTCTACGAGGTGATCTCCAAGAGCATCGCCCCCTCCATCTTTGGGGGCACGGACATGAAGAAGGCCATTGCCTGCCTGCTCTTTGGAGGTTCCCGAAAGAGGTGAGAGGCCAGGAGGAGGAGACTGGGGCTGAGGTCAACAGGATGATAGCTGCCAGATGATCAAGACCAAGTGCTCATTCTGTGTTTCCCAGGCCCCTGGGCCTGCCGTCTATTCCCAGGCTTGCTGACAGCTGTTCATCCACACACTTGACTTAGAGAGACCCTCGCTCTGGCTAGGGGGTAGTCAGTGAGAGAGCACTGGGCTTAGAGTCCTGCAACCAAGGAGTCTATCTCTGCTATTTTATTTGCTTGGGAGCTACATGCCAGGTCTCTGAACCCAAGTTTTTACATGAATGTAACTTAAAAGACAGGTGAAACCAAGTGTGGTGGTACATACCTATAATCCCAGCACTTGGGAGACTGAGGCAGGGGGATCATGACTTTGAGGTCATCCTTGGCTCTGTGGTTCCAGACTAGCTTAGGCTACATAGCAAGACCCTTTCAGAAAGAAGAGAAAAAAGAATTTCAATTTCCTTTTGAAATTCTTAGAATAATAGAGGTACTAACAATAGTAACAATAACAATACCATTTACTGCATTTTTACTGTAGTCTTCTTAGTCTTCTAAATGTCCGTTTTTATGTATCTGAAACCCGGCCAGTCCTCGAAGTAGCATCCTTGAGGACGCTGATTTTGCACCCACTTAAAGATGAGGCAGTGGAGGCAGAGAGAGAAGGGTCTTGTCCCTGGGCTCCTGGTGGGCTGGGAGACTGCTCTCTTGGCACTGTTGGTTGGGTGCATGTGCACAGATGCTGGGTGCATCTGAGCACAGCCTGTAAGTGCCATTTTCTTCAACCTCCCTCCACTGGGAGGTGAGTTCTGCCTTCCTATCACTAGGCCAGCATCAGGGAGCTGCAAGACTTTGTGGGAGCATGGGTCTGGGCCAAGCCCCTACCTTCCCACCTGCTCTGAGGCTCATGAGAGGGGTGTATGGGGGTGACTGCCATTCAGGTGGATCCTCACCTTATCCACCTGTCTGTTCTCCCTAGACTCCCTGATGGACTTACTCGCCGAGGAGACATCAACCTTCTGATGCTGGGGGACCCTGGGACGGCCAAGTCACAGCTTCTAAAGTTTGTGGAGAAGTGCTCTCCTATTGGAGTGAGTGCCAGGGACAACCTCCTCACCTTACCTGTCCCAGCAGGGAATAAGGCTGCAGGGCAGGGCTGCTGGGTCCCCAAGACACCCCTGGGTGTGGCTCACCCAGAGCCTTCTCATTCCTCTTGGCTGAAGTTGGTTTGGCAGAGGGGCTATAGAAGGTACATGTAGATGATTTGGGGTGAGGAGGAGAGAGCACTGGACTTGAGTCAGACTGGACTCAACCTTGTCAGTGACTGGGTATGGACTTTGAGTCACAAAGTGTCTCTGAGCATCAGCTTATCCACTTGCTAGATAGTGACGCCGAGAATTCTAATAGCTAAAACAAGGGCCAGGCGCTGCTTTTACTCATCTAACCTCAGTGCTCTGTAGGTGCTATCACCCTGTGTTCATAAGGAGGCAGGGACAGAGTGGTGAACAAGGACCTAATGCTGGCAAGCCCTGGAATAGGGCACGAGTCCATGTTGATGAGTCAGGTTCCTGGTAAATTGATGGAGTCTGGGAGGATCGGTGGGAGAACCAGTGACAGCTGTGGTCATTGGGTTGAACTGTGCAGTGGAGGTGGTTTTTGTATAGACAGAAGGTATGCCAAGTTGTCCACACAAGCACTGTCCCATGGAAATACTGTGTGACCAGCAAGTGTGAGCTGTGTGTTGTATTAATTCTTCTAGTAGCCACATTAAAAAAAATTTTTTTTAAAATGCTGGGTGCTGGTGGTTCATGCCTGTAATCCTGGCTACTCTGGTGGCAGAGATCAAGAGGATCATGGTTTGAAGGTAGCCTGGGCAAATAGTTCAGGAGATCCTATCTTGAAAAAAACCTGTCACATAAAAGGACTGGTGGAGTAGCTCAAGGGGAAGGCCCTGAGTTCAAGCCCCAGTACTGCAAAAAAAAAAAAGTTGAAATTAATCTGTGTAATACTTCTTATTTAACATGTAGCTTAACATAAACAGTTATGTTTTTTGCAGTGTTAAGGATAGAATGCAGGACCTTGTGCATACTAGCCAAGTGCTCTACTACTGAGCTATTCCAGCCCTAGTATAAACAGCTATTATTATTATTGTTATTTTTGGTGGTCCTGGGGTTTGAACTTGGGGCTTCACACTTGGTAGGCAGGCACTCTACCACTTGAGCCACTCTGCCTACTTGTGCTCTTGTTAACACTAAATCTCTGTGATCTGTGTGTATCTTACTCTTAAGGGCATCTCAGCTAGAACTTGCTACATTTTGAGCGCTCGTGGCATGCAGGTGTTTATAGATTGCAATGGACTCATGGTTGGAAACTGGGAGTCCTCATCCCAGTGCTAGGCCAGCTCCAAGTGTGTTACTCTGCTGGGCCTCAGTGCTTATCTCATAGGGGCCATGTCCCCTCTGGGGGAAAATATCTAGACCAGGCTGAGGCCCAGGGTAGCTTCTTCTTCCAGCATAAAGAGCCTTCCATTGAGTCTTGAATTCTGTTCTGTGCTCTGCAACTAGCTTTGAAGTATGATTTGGGGACTTTATAATCCTCTGAGATCCCCCTGACTTTTAACCATTTTCAAAGCATGGACTGGAGCTGGCTTTGGGCCCCCGACACCTTCTTGCCCCTCTCCTCCCCTAGGTGTACACGTCTGGGAAAGGTAGCAGTGCCGCTGGCCTGACTGCCTCAGTGATGAGAGATCCCTCATCCCGGAACTTCATCATGGAGGGCGGAGCTATGGTCCTGGCTGATGGTGGGGTTGTCTGTATCGATGAGTTTGACAAGGTGAGTCTGAGCTTCATAGTCCCAGACCCGGCTGTGTGATGACCTTAGGTGGGGATGGCAGATGCCACTCTGATTTTTGAGACTTGTGTTCAGTCCCTTGGCCTGTCACTGTACAGTAACTGTGGTGAGTTATTTTGCCTCTCTGAGCCTCAGTTTACATATCTGGAGACTGGGGAGAGTAAAGCCATGACCTTGGGGGTCACTATGATTAGAGGTGACCCTGTAACTGACATTAGCTGCCACAGAGTGTGTTCTTGAGAATGGCAGCTCTAAGCTAGTTTTTCTACTGCTGCTGTCCCCTGCCTTGGGAGGGTCTGATGGACCTCTTTTTCCCCAACTCAGATGCGGGAAGATGATCGTGTGGCCATCCATGAAGCCATGGAACAGCAGACCATCTCTATTGCCAAGGTGAGTAGTCACACAGCCGGGCTAGCCCTCCTCAGATTGCTCTGATTTGCTGTGCTGAGTCTGGTTTCCCCAGGGCTGTGCTAACAGCATCAGCAGGAGACCTAGATGTGTGTGTGTGTATGTGTGTCCTCGTGTGTGTCCTGTCCTGATCATTTCCTCCCCTACCCTTTGCAGGCTGGAATCACCACCACCTTGAATTCTCGTTGCTCTGTCTTGGCTGCTGCTAACTCAGTGTTTGGCCGCTGGGACGAGACAAAGGGGGAGGACAACATCGACTTCATGCCTACCATCTTGTCCCGCTTCGACATGATCTTCATTGTCAAAGATGAGCACAATGAGGAAAGGGATGTGGTATGTTCAGGGACAGGGCCAGTGGCCATAGAGCCTAGCTCCAGACAGGCTCATGGGCCTGGAGGAGGGTAAACAAGAGGTCTGGCCAGGAAATTCCTGATGATCAAGTAAGCCATTTGGGGGAGTGCATGAGATGTTATGGTTGTGGCCTGGAGTTCTATGGCCTGGCCCTGTTTTTGTCAGCTGGATCGTTCTCTCTAGACCTCAGTTCCTTATATATAGAATAGAGGAGTTGACATTCAGTTACAAATAAGAGAACCTCAGTTTTAGTAAGTCTCCTCTTCCCACTCCCAAACGCTGGAGATCAAACCCAGGGCTTTGACATGCTAGGCAAGTGCCTTACCTCTGAGCTGCACCCCCATCCCTAGTTAGTACAATTTCTGAAAGAAAAGAACCTAATAGCTCATAGAATTAATGAGTCTGGAGGTTTAAGGCCCAGATGGCTCTGTCTCTAACTCTGTTTTGCTTTGCTTCCTTGGTGAAGGCTTGGTTCTTAGGCCTCTGCTCCCCTTGTGGTGGTAAGGACAAGGTGCGACTTTGTCTAACCAGCTAATAGCTTAACTGCCCCTTAAGCAGAGGCCTCTTCTTCAGTAGTTCTAGAACAAGTTGTAGGATGGACTGCTATTGGGTTGGGTAGAGCCAGTGTCCATCTATAAGGCAGACCTGTGCCCCAGGTGGTGGATGGGAGGATACTGCTCAGGAGGGGAGGGGCTTTTCCGAGCAACAGAAGGTGCATGCCCTTCTGGCTCTGATGCCTGCCCAACCCTAGCCAACCTGTGTGGGGACCCAGGCTCGGGAGGGCCTGTAGGCTGATAGTGTCCTCCCTGCCTTCTAGCTGCTGGCCAAACACGTGATCACTCTGCACGTGAGCGCTCTGACACAGACACAGGCTGTGGAGGGTGAGATTGACCTGGCCAAGCTCAAGAAGTTCATCGCCTACTGCCGAGCGTGAGTGTGATACAGGCCTGTGGGGTGAGCTCGTGGCTTACCTGGGGCGAGAGCCCAGGTCCCGGTCCTACATCCTCATGCAGGATACCTGCAGGTTGCCACTCTGAGGTTTTGGTGGCTCTGCAGCATTTGCTCTGCTCCTTTCTGATCTTGCAGATCGCGCTGGCTCTCGACGTCAGTCTTCCCATCCCTAGGCAGGAAGCTTTTAAGATCTTGCAGTTGCCTCATGTCTGACAGGTGGGAAGGTCATTGTGGGCACGGCATGGGATAATGTTGAAGCCCCCCTCCCCTGTAGCTCAGTCTTTCTGAGCCTCAGTTTCTCTAGGTATGTTTCCTAGTTGTTGTTTTTTTAAGGCACGGTCTTACTATGTAGTCCTTACTATGTAGCCTAAAACTTGTGATCCTCCTGCCTCAGCCTCCCGAGTACTAGGACTACAGCTGTATACCACCATGTCCAGCTTCTCAGTTACCTTTTTGTGTATGTGTGTGTGTGGTACTGGAGTTTGAGCTCAGGGCCTTGCACTTGCCATGCAGGCACTCTACCGCTTGAGCCATGCCCCCAGCCCTCAGTTATCCTTTTTTTGGAATAGAGTTTGCTTTTCAGGCTTGCAAAGCAGACACTCTGCTACTTGAGCCACACCTTCCAGTCCATTTTTCTCTGGCTATTTTTAGAGATGGGGTCTCTTGAACTATTTGCATGAGCTTCCCTTGAACCATGATCTCCCAATCTCAGCCTCCCAAGTAGCTAGAATTATGGGCTTGAGCCACCAGCAACCAGCTCTCAGTTATCTTTTTTTTCCCTCTTTTTTAAAAATTGTTGTACTAAGGGCACACTGTGACATTTTCAAAAGTTCTTACATATATCATAGTTGAATTCATCCCCTTTATCATTCTCCCTTATCCTCTCATCCCCCAGTTATCTTCAAGAATGGAGGGCTCTGACCCACCAGTCTGGTGCACCCAAGTTCAGCTACCTCTGTCAGGGCGAATGGGTGAATGTTATGACCCAGCAGTTCCTGGGCCTTTGTTATGGTTCTGAGCTCTGAATTCTCAGGCTTGGCCCATGGGTATGAATCAGGGAGCCCTGGATTCCAGTCATTTCCACACCAAGTCTGGGCACCCTTGGAGAGTCCCTTCTCTCCTCATCCTTAGGATTCTCTTACATAGGGGATGGTCAGTGGGCCATGGGTGGAGAGACTGGATGGAGGGAGATGCCAATCAGACATCCTGGGGATGTCTGACATGTTTCCTATTCCTGAACTGCGAGTCACTGGCCACCTTCTTGGGGTGTCCACAGATGTGTGGGGTATAGGAGCTAGAGATTGCTGGTGAGCCCGCCACCTAGTGGCCTCTTGCTGCAGCTACCTCCTAGTGTCTGGGGGATGGGGGGCCGTGCCCACACTGCATCCAACAATGGGAGCCGCAATTTTCACCATGCATATGTGCCACCTGTTTTCTGACAGGCACCTGGTTTTCTCTCCTGTGTTGCCCAGGTTTCACATAAGTCTGTTTCAAACAGTATGCCAGCTCATGTGAGTGGGCAGCTGTGGTATGGTAGGAACATGCATATCTACAGGCTGGTGGAGGTTAGGGAACAGGTGGGCACTCCAAGGTTCCCTCTTGGCCTCATTGGTCACTCCCCACCCGTTCTGCAGGAGGTGTGGCCCCCGGCTGTCAGCAGAGGCTGCAGAGAAGCTGAAGAACCGCTACATCATCATGAGGAGTGGGGCCCGACAGCACGAGAGGGAAAGTGACCGCCGCTCCAGCATCCCCATCACTGTGCGGTGAGCAGACAGCCAGACCTCACCTCGCATACGGGCCCGGGGCCACACAGCACGGGGAGGGGCTGTTGGGCGTGGAGGATCCTGGCCTGTTAGGGGCATGCAATGGTTTGGGGGACAGCCAGCAGCCTCCACCATAGTCTTAACTCCCTTGGGTGCACCTATCCCTGGTGAGAGAAGCTGTCCCTGAGCACCCCATTGTTCCCACAGGCAGCTGGAGGCCATTGTACGTATCTCTGAGGCTCTCAGCAAGATGAAGCTGCAGCCTTTCGCCACCGAAGCAGATGTGGAGGAGGCTCTGAGGCTCTTTCAGGTGTCCACATTGGATGCTGCTTTGTCCGGCACCCTGTCAGGTGAGCAGGTGCTGGGCCATGGTCTTGGGGACCCATGGGTGTGGCCTCAGCCTGCTGAAGGCCTGCAGGTGCTGCTTCTCGTTCACTGAACTTCCCCGGGCGTCTTTGATAATAGCTCTTTCCCTGTTTTTCCTCTAGATGAGAGATAGCAGATTCTTTCCAGACCCTTGAATGCCATCCTTTTCAGTCACTTTGTTAGAAGTAATTGTGACCCTATCATTGCTGAAGAACAGGTTAGCCTTCAGTGTGTTGAGCTCAGAACCATTTCAGTGCCTCTCCACCTATGGCCATAGTTTCCATGATAGCCATTCCCTGTCCTCCAGTTCTTCCCATCCTCAAGATGGGACGCCTGGAACTCAGAGCCCTCTTAAAGGTGCCCAGGCCACTGGTCTTAGCTGGAATATAGGTCATTCCTACATTGCTAAGTCATACTGCCTCCTTCTGCTCAGCCTTTCAGCTGTCAGTCTTTGCTGAGAACTGATGGTGTGCTAGACTTTTCTGGGATAGCTATCTAGTCCTTACCCAGCAGGGGATTTGGGCTTCCCATTTGCTAGGCACCATCTAGGTGCTGGAGATAGAAGAGCAAACAGATCACAAGGTCCCTGACCCAGGGTATCTCATTCTCTTTCCTGTTGAGGAGAGTCAGTGAAGAGACAAATACAAGTTTGGCTAGTGATAGATGCAGTGGGGGAAATGACAGCAGGTCCAGGTGTGTTGGGGAAGGAGGGATGATGGATGGCCTCTGAGGAGTGACCTGTGTGAAGTGAAGGACTGTGGCTGCCTAGGGGGAGTGCCCCAGTTCGGGGGTTTGCCGTGTCAGTTACCCAGGGGCAATTGACTTGGGCAGCAGAGAGGCCCACCTGCAGCAGACATTGAAAGTCAGCCTCCTGCTTGCTGAAGGCTTCCTGGGGCACCTCCAGATATGGTGTCCTCCCTCATGGGCCCTGCCCAGCTTTGTGTCTCAGATCTACTTTAGTATGTTATCCCACAGCCTGTGCAGCTGGAAAGAGTCCATGTGTTACTTACTTACTAACAGTTGTCACCCAAAAGTAACCTGTGTGCTTCTTTTAGAGCCCTCCAGGGCTCCTCTCAACGGAATTGATTCTGTCCTGGGTGCACAGCAAGCTGGTGCTGTGGCCCACAGGGGCCCATGGGTTCTGGTCCCTAGCTACCACCCTGGGCATGGCACAACCACCATGATTTTGTCCAATGAGCCAGGTGCATCCCTGCCTCTGTGTTTGCACCTGCTGTGCCTTCTGCCTGTGACGTTCTCCACATTTGCCTTGGCCTAGCTCCTTGGTCAGGTCCTGCTGCCCCTGGGCATACCATTCTTTCTCTAGTAGTTTTCCCTGGGGCCTGATTCAGTCAGTTCTTGGATAAGAGGCTTCCATCCACTCTAGCCCAGGAAGGGAAGTCTGGGGCCCCAGCACCCCAGTCCTCACCATCTCACTTGTTGCCCACAGCGGTGGAGGGCTTCACCAGCCAGGAGGACCAGGAGATGCTGAGCCGCATTGAGAAGCAGCTCAAGCGCCGCTTTGCCATCGGCTCCCAGGTGTCTGAGCACAGCATCATCCAGGACTTCACCAAGCAGGTGGGCCTTCCCCTGAATGGGCACAGGGTCTCCTGCAGCTTCCTCTCTGTGGCCCATCTCTCTCTGTCCTCCTGATACTAGTACAGAGGCCCTGGTGGGGTGTTGAGGTAGGGTAGAAGTAGGAGATAGCAGCTGTTCCTTGCCCTACGGTGTCCCAGCCACCATTCCCTTCTTAGGGACAGCTCGGTCAGTGGCAGGGAAAATTTTCTGTATCCCATGACAAGGAGAAGTGGCTGGGTTCTGGAGGGACGACATCTGGTTTCCCCTGCCTTTCTCATTTCTTCTGTTGCCTGCTTCTTATGGGGAGGTGCAGAGCCCATAGAGTGAGCCTTCCAGCTCATTGGGGAGTGGGTTACTGAACCTGTGTAGAAAGAGGGGACTTTCCAGAGGCTGTGGGGAGTTTTTTACCTTTCAAATCATAGGGACAACCCCAATTTCTGGTCTTAGCTTCCTTTCCCATACTTCTCACTTTGGAAGTAGGTATAGGCGAGGCTTAGGGAAGCTGAGGGATGACAGGAGCTTGAGTTCTAGTCACAGGGACTGAAGTCCCAGCTGTAGCACTTACTTGCTATTGCTGTGTGACTTTTAAACAAGTGCTTTAGCCTTTCTGTGCTTCCCTTGTAAAGGAGCCTAGCAGCAGCTGCATAGAATGTTTGGGAATGGAATGAGTTCATGTATGTGGAGACTGTACCAGCCTGGTACACAGCAGGTGCTCAGGAAGTGGGAGTCCTTCTCTGGTTGGGAAGGAGTGGAGGTAGAAGCCTTTGGTGTGCTGTTCAGTTCCCTGGGAGTCGGGATGCCAGTGATGTGCTCCTGTAGCCAGCCCCTCTCACCCACAGAAGTACCCGGAGCACGCCATCCACAAGGTGCTGCAGCTTATGTTGCGTCGTGGCGAGGTCCAACACCGCATGCAGCGCAAGGTGCTCTACCGCCTCAAGTGAGCCTGTCACCTGTCCTCTGCCATCAGGAGTGTCACTGTCCCTCCACCTTCCTGCCGCTGTCCTCCAGCTTCCCTAGGCCTCTCTCCTGGAGGGTGAATCATCAGGCCCTCGCTGCCTGTGGATGCTGCCTCCAGTGCATTCTGGGAAATGGGCTTGGTGCTGATTGCCATAATAAAGCAAGCCTGCTCAGGTATCCAAGGACTCTGCACTTGCTGGCCTATCCCACTCCTGTCTCGGCGAGGTGAGCGTGGGGCAGGAGCAGGCTGGAGCTGGACACATGGGTTTTTAGACTGGGATTTACAACCTTTCTTCCCTAGCAGCCCACCCCCATGCTGTGTGGCCTTGGGTAAGGCACTGAGCTTCTGTGTGTGAGCAGGGAAAAGTGCGGGAGCTTGGGACATCTGAGCCCAGAGCCTGGAATTGGTAGGGTGCGCTAGGGACAGCAGTGCTGGAAGGAGAACACCAGTGCTTGGGTCCTTATTTTTCACAGTGTTGAAATGCCACTATGAATTTGTGTTTGTTTTTTAAAGATCTAGAATTCACAAAATTAAGGAAAAGTCAGTGAAATAAATACTTGTTATTTGAATATTTAGAAACGCGAAGTCTCAAGCAAAACATGAACTTAGAAATGTGTTTAAAACACTTTAAAAATAAATTATTGGCAGGTAAAGTATTAAGAGTAAGCCCTGTGTAGAAATGAAGACACTTAGGAAGAACTGGAGGGAAGATTTTTGATCGTCCTCAAAACAAACAACCCTCAGTGCACCAGTGTGGCCATTGTTCATCACAAGTGTGTTTTGTGCAGAGATTGCTGGCGACCCACAGTCCTTCTTGCCTTGACTGTTCTAGGAAATGGATGAGAGGGGCCAAATTTGCTCTCTAACTCATTCCAGCTCAGAGCCTGTTTTCCTCTCATCACAGTGAGACTGGGACTGCTTGTGCTTGCTTGTCTGGAAGGCAGCCTTCGTGAGGGCAGTGTGCGTTCTTGTGTCTAAGGTTCGATTAGTCTTTCATCTTGATCAGGTGGTTTGGTTCATCTCAGATCTGCATCTTCTGTTCTGTGTGGAGTGCTGGACCTGGGTGAGGAGTCCATCCTGTAGCTACATATGACGTTTTTGGTAGCACTTTCCCTGTCACGGAATGAGCTGTTAAGGTCACCTTGTAGGTGGAGAATATCACAGGGAGGCGGGCAAGGTCAAGTTTCAGACAGGTTTGGCTCTAGACCCCATGCCTAAAGGCCAGTACAGTGTCCTCCCCAGGCAGTCCCCTGGCCTGGAAGAGGTGCCAGTCAAGTGGGGGAAAGACTGATCCTGTATGGTCACTGTCCCTCAGGGCAGATGGATGATTGGCAGGTGAAGTGCTAAGGGACCAAAGGGGGAATGACTGGCTGACATAGAGAATAAGGCTTGTAGGAGGAATACTGGGTCTTGGAACACACCCAGCATCCTTCAAGGTGGGGCAGCATGAAGAAAGATCCAGTGCCTGTGTGTGGGGAACAGGCAGAGCAGGAAGGAGGCAGGCAGGAGAAGGGAGTCCTCAGGCCAAGGGATGCATAGGTTGGGCCTGAGTATCCAGTGTGATCCAAGGGCCAGTATTCCAACCCAGATTGGTCTGAGCTGGCTATAGTCATTGCACATGTAGCTGAGGATGTCTCTTCCAGTGACCTGGCTCTTTGTTGCCCCTATCCTTGTAGATCTTCCCTCTGCTTCCATTTCTTTGTTGGCCAATCCCACCATTTCTCATCTCCCTCTCCTCTGTGAGAAGGGAATACTAGTGATTCTCCCTCCTGAGCAGTGTGGGGTCAGCAGAGGCCATGATTACTGTGGCAGCCCTGCCCTGTAGAGAGAGGATACCCAGGAGGGGCTGCATCTCATTGCTTCCTCTGCCTGCAGTTCAATTTTCACTCTCCCCTGCCTGGCCATGCTTGTGCTTCTGGCATTCCCTGGCCCCTCTGCACTGCTTGCCTACAGGCCTTTCAACTTCGATGCCCCCTGAAAGTCCCTCTACCATCTCTAGTTCAAAGCTAGAAGGGAGGGAGTTCAGACAAGCTTGTCTATAGTGTAGTCATTTCACCTGGTTTTCGTCTTGGGGCTGATAGCAGCCCTGGCTTTGCAGCTTACACCGTTTTCTCTTTAGTCATATAGTCATGTGTTGCTTAATGACAGATGATAAGAGCACCATTGAGTATACTTACACAAGCCTAGATGGCACAGCCTACTGCATACACTGCTGTCTTTGCCCAGACACTGTTATGCGCTGTGCAACTCTGTTGCTGCTTTTACTGGCTTACAGCCGGAAGTCCCAGAGCTGCTACAGATACAAATAGGAACTACATTCTCTCCAACATGCTGCTAGACCTGTTAGTTTACAGCCACCAGATCAGAAGTCTTAACAGAGTGTACATTCTTTTGTGTGTGTGTGTGGTGGTATTCAGGTTTGATCTCAAGGGTCTTGTACTTGCTAGGCAGGTGCTGTACCACTTGAGCCACTCCCCCAGCCCTTTTTGCTTTAGTTATTTTTTAAATAGAGTTACATTTATAACTAGGTTGGCCTGGACTGTGATCCTATTTGTTCTTCTGAGTAGTTGGGATGATTGACATGTACCACTGCACCCAGCTTTTTATTGATTGAGATGGGGGTCTCACACTTTTTTTGCCCAGGCTGGCCACAAACTGCAGGATTACAGGCATGAGCCACTATGCCTAGCCTAGAGTGTACATGTTTAACACCCAATGTTAAAAAAAAAAAAAAATATATATATATATATATATATATATATATAGCTGGTAATGTAGCTCAGAGGTAAGAGCCCTCCCTAGCATGCACAGGGAAGGTCCTGGGCTTGGTAACCAGCACTGCAAAAAATAGATTAGTGGAGATTATGGCCAATTTTGGAGTTTTATTTATTGGAAAATAATCTATGGGTGTGGCAACACATGCCTGTAATCCTAGTTACTTGGGAGATAGATTTTGGGAGTGTTGAGGTTCAAATCCAGCCCATGTTCCAAGACCACCCCTGGGCAAAAAACTTCACCTTACCTAAAAAAGTGAAGCAAAAAAGAACTGGGGGTGTGGCTCAAGTGGTAGAGCTTAAACTCTAGTACTGCCAAGGGAGGGAAAATACTACATAATCCTAATGTGTTGAAACGTAAATGAAAGAATGTTAAAGTGTTTGCAAGTAGCAGCCTAAAGCCTGTTCTTTGGTCTTTAAGAAACAGAGTCACTCCGGGCACTGGTGGCTCACCTCTGTAATTCTGCTTACTCGGAAGGCTGCAATTGGGAGGATTGTGGTTTAAGGCTTAGGCAAATGCAATTCCTGAGACCTCATCTCCAAAATAACCAGAGCAAAATGGACTGGAGGCATGGCTCAAGCAGCCGAGTGCCTGCTTTTTGAGCTCCTGCTTGCCCTGAGTTCAAATCCCAGTTCCACCCCCTTTCCCCCCCAAAAAAATCCCCACAAAATACTGAATTTTAAAAGTGTGAAAGATAGGCATTCTAAACATGAGCTTGTGGAAGTTTTTGTTTCAGATGCTGTAACAATTTTTGTATGTACATTTAAACATGAAAAATAGCAATTTGGTGTTTAACAAAAATCAAGGTTTAATTGGAAGTGTCCAGTCTCTATGGACAAAGGTAGACATTTGTTTTCAAACATAGGAGCCATCTGATTCTTGACAAAGGTGCCAAAGACACAGAAGACAGCCTCTTCAACCAGTGGTGCTGGGGGAAGTGGATCTCCACATGTAGAAGATTGAAGCAAGGTCCCTATCGCTCACCTTGTCCCATAATCAACTGGAAATGTATCAAAGACCTTTATGTAAGGCCTGGATCTTGGAGACTATGAGAGAAAGTCTGAAATAGAACTCTAGTAGCTCAGGAAGTAAGAGCAAAAATTGACAAATGGAATTGCATCAAATTAAAAAGCTGCATAGCAAAGGAAACAACAGTGAAAAGAAAAACCTCACTATTCATGGACAAGGGATTAATATCCAGAATATATAAAGAGCTCAAAAAATTAAACACCAAAAGAACAAATCAATAAATGGGCAAGTGAACTAAGCAGATCCTCTTCAAAAGAAGTACAAATGCCAGTGAAAAACATGAAAAAATGCCTCACTCTTTCCCATCAGGGGAATACAAATAAACCACATTGAGATTCCATCTCATCCGTTAGAATGGCTATCATCAAGAAGATAAATGCAGACAAGGATGAGTGTGTGTGTGGGGTGTAAACCTTTATGAAGTGTTGGTGGGGATGTTAATTTGTACAACCACTATGGAAACCACTGTTACAGGTTTGGGGAACGCTAAAAATAGAATTGCCATATGATCTAGCTATACAATGGAATGTAGACCCAAAGGAATCTAAGCAGATGCTAGAGATGCTTGTACACATGTAGAGGCACACACCTGTGTTTGTTGTGCAATCCATAGTAGCCAAGTTTTGGAACCCCTTGGTGCCCGTCAGTGGAAGAATGGGTAAAGAAAATTTATATATACGTAACACATATCATTCAACTATAAGAAGGAATTATATGTGATTTGCAGGAAGATGGATGGATGGAACTTCATGTTAAGTGAAATAAGCTGGACTTGGGAAAATAATCACATTTTCTCTTGTGGAATCTAGGGGAAAATCCAAAAAAGTAGGAGTCTACTGGAGAAGAAGCAGAGGATCAGGAGGAGGGGGACAGCAGTGTAGGGGGATTATGATCAGTATGTTATGTGCACGTATGGAGAGATGTCACAGTGAAGCCCATTTCTTTGCACAGTTGTATACACTAGTGTAAAAAATAGGGCTGGGGCTGTAGCTCAATGGCAAGGTGACTGGCTCCACAAGAAACATGGTGTGGCCAAAGAACATTAAAGTGATTTGCAGTACAACTTTTTAGCAGTTTTGGCACCTAAAATATTTTGAGGCAGTAAATGCATGGACTTGGAGCCAGTTGGCTTGGGTTCACATCTCAGTCCAGCTGCTTGTACCTGTCTGAGCATTTTTTCACCTGAGAAGTGGGGATACTAGACTCCATCTAAGTGAGTCAAGCCCAATGGGTGTGGCAGGCTGTGCTGGGATGGAGCATTGAAAATGTCTCACGTTGTGGAGAAAGTTCCTGGGTAACTGAGTTCTCTGCAAGAGGTGGTTTAGGGTTCTTTTGGCTCCTCCTTCTGAGTTCTCAGAGCCCCTATCAGTGAGCAGTTCGAGAATTGGCCCAGAGGGCTAGGTTGGTGACCATGCCCTCCCCAGAGTCCAGCAGAAGGCCAGTGTGCATGGGCTTGGAATAGTCCCTTTGGGGGTTAGGTTAGTCCATCTATCAGTGTGCTGGTCTTCACACCACACCTGTGTTCTCACGGTTCTGGAGGCCGGAAGACTAAGACAGACGGCAGAGTTGGTGTTTTCAGCCCCCTTGGGGCTGGTGAAGTGGTAACTAGCAAGAGTGAGGCCCTGAGTTCAAATCCCACTACTGCCAGAAAAAGAAGAAAGGCCTCTCT